AGACCACAGGCCTCAAGGTTGCTGTTAGCCCAATCACATATCCTGTTGCTGAGTTATTTTTAACGTCAGGCTGAAATACTCCGCCGCATCTTTTTCAACGTGCCTGCTGAGGTGTCTCCTCCCCCTCCTCAAGCACATTGATCTGATGAAAAATTTTAGAAGGGTTAGGCTTGGATGACAAAGAATCATAGACAGAGCAGTCTTAAATGAAAGTTACACTAAATGTACAACTTCCTAGCAGATACACATGAAATTGTCATTAAGAACACACACAGCTTCTAAATCAGAAGGGAGCCATCCTCCCCTTTCTGCAGTTTGGCACTCTGCTCTTGCATCAGCACTTGGCCTTCACACCAGCATCCCTTCATCTCCTCTTCAAGGGGTCCCCGAGTTGCCCGCTCAGGGTGTTCCACTGAGGGGGTTGGGGACTGTGCCCCACTGGAGCTCACACCTCAACAGCGGGTTACCTTGACTCTTCTCATGGCCCCCACTGCAGAGACACATTCTGAGGCAGCATCCCAGGGCAGCTGCCTCCAGCCACCCATGGGTGTAGCTGACGGTGAAAGGTCCCAAGGGGCACCCAGCAAGGCACAGCTCAGAGAGCAGCTGCTCTTCCCAGTTAAGCTCCTGGGGAAGCCAGTTGGCCAGCAAGCATCGCAGCACGTGGTAACGCGCTCTTGCACCATTGCAGCAGTGGCAGGTTGTGTATTTTGACATGCCTATTTCAGCACTTCCGCACCGATTCCTGAAAATTTTACCCTCGTCGGAAATAAAAAGGAAAGCAAAATGTGTATCCTGAGTCTACGTATCTGCCTCGTATCCAGCAGACTTGGAAAAAATACTTCTGTTTTAAATAAGAAAGCATATTTTTTAAAAAAGATTCACCTCTGCTTCACTCTGGCTAGTTTTGTTTTCCCTTTGATCCAGACACTTTCATTCAAGCAAAAGCAAGACTCACAGTGAACAGGGGGATGGATGCAGGTGCATTTAAAAAAAAAAAAACACAACCAACCAAGAAAACCCCAAAGCATGTGTGGTAAGCTGATGCCATTCTACGCATCACACTCAAGCCTCTTAAACCCACTTGCTGAAAGAGAGATATTTGCTAGTTCTTAAGCCCATGCAGAACACAGTGTCATGCACAAACCAAACAGTGTCACACAATTTTTGGTTCTCACTCTTAAATTTGACCTGACACCCCTGTGATTTAAGAGCATATTACAGCTGTTGATCCAGATTAAGGAAGACTGGCTGCAGGGAACATCAAAGTTGAAAGTTGTCTATTGCCATCTCTTGTTTAGATCACAGATTATTTGCTCACCCACTGAATAAGTCCAGTAATTTACATTTGACTACATTTGATGATAGTGCTGCAACCCATTACATCCCATAGTTGGTAGTTAACCAGGTAATCACCTCTGTGTTGCAAACTGAGCACATTCTTAGGATCACAAGTCTTCCAAGCTTCCACCTTCTGTGATTTTTCTAATTTTTACACCTCACTCTCCTAAATCAGAGATCAACACCACCCAACACTGAGCAGTCAACCTTCGTTGTTACGTCTTATTTTAGTGTTCCCTTTATTTATACTTTCATCTTCGAGCCTTAAAAACAAAAATTGGCCATGTGTCAAGATGGGAAGCCCAACCAAGGAGCAAAAATCAAGGAAGGGACCTCTGGTTTATCAAGTCTAGTTGACTACTATTGAGACTCCACTTTGCATTCACTTTCTTTCATAGATATACTTGGCTCTTCCTTCAAAGCAGGTCTCTGCCTGGAAGGCTGTTCCAGAACTAGTGCCAGTAATTAAGAGGTTTGTTTCTAATCTAAATCTTATTTACAAAAAGCCTATACCCATTTGCTTTTGTTCTAACGCTCCTTCAGCTCTTGATGCTTCTGTCTTTGCACAAAAAGTAGTATTCTGACTCCATAAACAACCTTACTGCTACAGACAAAAAAAAAAAAGCTTAACCATAAATTTAACTTCGAGAGCATACAGAATATTTAACTTCACAGAGCAGGGAACAAGAGAGGAAAAACACAACAACAACAAAAAAAAAAGCTAGCCAGAAGGTGTGATTTCTTTAGTCATCCAAAGAAGCCTTTTCTCTCCTCATGCTGGATAAATAGGCCTGTAGAAATTGTAATCAGTTCTTCAGGGATGACACTCACAGCAACCCACCATAATGCTCCACGTCAAAAACACTGTGCAAAGTGAACTGGACGGAAGAAAGTTAATACAGCTTTGCTGAGCGTTAAAGACCAAAACACAATCTGTCTTGTTAAAAAGAAACACAATTTTAAAACACATAGCATCGTAAGAGTTTGGTACAACAGTGTATCCTTCAGGAAAGGAAAGAAAAACCCCTAAGCTTCGGAAACAGTATTATGCATTTTGTATCCTTCTACTGATTCACCTTGGCAAGAAAACAAATGAAGAACGGAGTCAAAAAAACGTCATTAAACAAACCATCCAGCATTCGGTCACAGGCAACAGAAACCCAAGTACCATATCTACATTGTTCTCTCCTATTATATCCAGAAGACAGGAGCATGCAACACCATTACTGTGAACAATAAAAAAAAGGTGTACATTGTAGAAAGCAAAATACTTCTCCACTTCCACTAGTTTCACTGAAACCTTCCAAATTAGGTATGAATTTGGCTGTCGGGTCAATAAGCAGACTTGCAAATGGGTGTGCTGAGTTTTAAAGTCTGCTTGTAAAAGCCAAAGTAACTGCATCAGAAGAAGTCAACAAGGGGAAAAACAAAAACAAAAAGTTATTTTCAGTTTGAGACATACCATCATTTTATACCTAAGGAGATCCAACCCCATTGGCATTCCTCTCATAGAATTTCCATATTTAACACTTAATTTAGAACAGGCAAACAAGGGTGTAGAAAGCCTTCAAAGAGCCCATGAAATACAGTACAATAGGTACACAAAATTCATACTGTACATTATTTTTAGGTAGCCTACATAATTTGTATTTTTACTGCAAGAACATAAAACCAAGACTGACTTGTATAAAATCACAATTTGATACAGAGCAAAACCACTTGCCCTTGTTCCTACTTACTACTGTTATTTTAAAATGAACAGTAAATTGACAGAGAGGCAAAACACTCCCACTGTAATGCAAACAGTACACAGCTTTTTCATGTGTCCTCATAATCTGGGAGAGAAAAGTCAAGTTTACCTGTCACACAAGTTACTTTAAAATCAGAGCTAATTGGCAAAGAAGCCTAAAAGGAAATGAGAAACTCTTTGACTCAAACTCACAGAATTTCAAGGCAAAGTGAGCTTTCAAGAAAACCTCGTCCAAGCACAACAAAACATTTCTCACACTAGTCTTGCATGCTCCACATTTCCATGGCTGAACCTCTGGTTCAGAAACTTGCAATTCCGAGAGCAATGAAAGCGCAGTTCAAAGCTGAGGTACTACGAACAGTCAGAATAAAGTTTGGAAGCTAACAAAAAAAAGAAAAAAGTCCAAGTGTGCTGCTCTAGCTCTCTTGAGCAGTAACATATGAACCTACAGCAGAGAAAATCACGTAGTCTGAGTGATACTATAAAAATAGTTTGCATGCTAAGCTACCTTTCAGACTAAACTCCATATACTGGATATCATATGAACAAGGTTTCAATTTTCCCAACTTACTTTACGCTTTTTAAAAGGCATTTTCTAATAAATTTATTTTGTACAGTTAAGCTAACACCTGCCAGGCTTGCATGCTTTTTAAGGACACACTTTGTCAGCTAGTATAATATAAAAACATATTAAAACAGTGCAGAGTTTTGTAAAAATACTTTAAATAAATTTAGACTTCCCTATAAGATTATTCAAGTTAAGAATTCATCATCAGATCCAACAGTATTAACTCCTTTACTTCCATTATCCTCATTGCACATCAAAAACAAAGTTCCCATTTGTGCCAAGACTCAAAAGAGCAGATTCTCAGCCTGTGCTGGCCTAACAAGCAAGTAACAACCAGTGCTCCACGGACAGCACCGTTTTGGTGCTCTGCCGACAGTTAAAACCCAAACTCGCCAGAAGTGTCTCACTACAAGCAGAATCAAAAGCTTTAAAGGATTCTAAAAAGCAAAGACCCTCACAGCAAGGATCAACATTGGGAACCTCTCTGACTTCACAAACGTAGCTCAGTAGGGTAGGTATGAGCAGCTTCTTCTTAGCAACAGAGGTCACAAAATTTACAGACAACCATGTACGTACTTCTCAAGACAAAATAAGGGGCAATGCACTCACTGCATTTCAAACCACCTGATTTTTACTTCCAGAAACCAAATAGCTTTCTATAAGTGTACTGATTTCTAATACTGATTAAAAAAAAATAATAATTGACTATTAACACAATTTCCACCTTTCCCACAGCCTCAGAAAGTTTGTTTTAAATTACACTACTGCAAGGCACATACAGAATTCTCTTCCTTTCAATACACAGCAGATAAAACCCCTGAAATAATTTCAAAACCTTCAAAACAATTAGAAATGCTACAAAGTTAATTTCTATTTAAAAACATTGTTCCTACAGAACATGCACTTTTTTTGTTTGAAAAAAAACTTTGCAAGTATTTAAGTTATTTTTTCTTCTTTACATTTACATAGGAAATACAATGAATAATTTTTCATCAGGAAAGTACTGTATCATGTGATGTTTAAAGTTATTGCCTTCATTATAAATTGCATCATCTCTGGAAATCCATGAAGATACTGGATTTGAAAATAAGGTCATGGTGAGAGACAATGTATGCAGTTTAGCCCATCTAAAAGGACTTGCACGGAAAGCAATACCATCCGAGTAAAAAAAAAAAAAAAAAATCACAAATAACAGATTTTCATTCAGTGGATGATGAGAAACTGATGTGTGTTTGCTCAGTTTAATGCAGTGTCATTAGCAACTTCTTAAAAACCTCCACCTTCTGGCTCTTGGGCAGGCATATCTTACTTTAAAAGCAACTAAATTTTTAAGAGGTAGTTTTTTTTCCATTATGCACTTATTTATTTCAAAAGAAACATAACCAAGAAAGACCTTGGCTTTTGAACAAAGATCAAGTCTCAAAATTTGGTACAACATCCGACAAAGTTCAGTATTTGAATTGTCCTCAGCAGTAGGGGGTTGCTTTGGAACCAGTGTACTCCAGGTTGTCTTCACAGTCAAAAGACTAATCGACCAACAGTACTGAACCCCCCCCCACCTCCTCCACCTGTGGGGCCACAACTTCCCGGGGGGTCGTTGTCATCAAATCCATTGGGTCGGAAAGAGCACGAGGCCGAGGCAGCCTGAAGTGCCTGTGTTCGAGCACTAAGTTCTTGTTCCTGAAATCAAAGAAGATAGACAATTAAAAAAAAAAAACAACCAAACCCACAGCAAATAAACAACAAAACCAAACCACCAAACCTACCTCAAGTCCTTGAAGCAGCTTATTTCTAGTCAATTTTGAAACTGCTTTTAAAGCAACATCTGGACTCTTAAGTCTGAATAACTCTGTTGAACTTTTAAGTTGAACATTATGAAAAATTTGTACATCAAAAGAAGTTATGAAAGACTGGAACAGGCTGCCCAGAAAAGTGGCTGAATCACCATCCTTGTATGTATTTAAAAGATGTCTAGATATGGTGGTGCTCAGGGACAGGGTTTAGAAGTGGATGTGGTGTCAGGCTACAGTTGAACTTGATCATCTTGGAGGTCTTTTCCAACCAAAATGAATCCATGATCTACAGCCAATCCAAGATGTATAACTTTTTTTGAACATAAGTACACATGAACTGTAACTAAATCCATTTAAAACTACTTAAATTTTATTTTGTAGCAACATGGTATGTTACTAAGAAACTAGAATACTGATCAAAAGGTAACAAGTCATTAGGTTTTGATACGTTTTACCTGAATTTTCATCCTACCAATTTTAAGGTACCCTTGTTCTCGTCTGTCACAGAGTTAAGACCATTAAACCAATGTTAATAATTTAATAATTTTTTCTATTCCATTCAGACAAGAGCAACAACATACTCGGAGAAAAGGCAAGAACATGGACAAGCTGTTTAGTTTCCATTCAGCACAGCTTTTTAACTGTCAAAGTGTCACTGCTATGCTAACTCACTAACTCTGTTTTAGCATTAGTCTTGTGAACACTCAAGCACTCCCTAAAACCGGAATCAGTTGCTGGAGAAAGTACCTGCAGAAGTGCAGAGGAACAAGAAGGCACTGCCTCCTGCAGCTGCTTTTTCAGTTGGATGCCCCTGTGGCTTCTTAAGCATCTAAGAATGCAATGAGGGAAAAAAAGCCTGTGCTCATCAAGAGATATCATACAGTATTTTGTCTCTGGCCAGCTAGTTTCATAAACCTTGCAGCCAATTTCTTGGGTTTAGTATCCCTTTCTCAAAGCTGCCAGGAGCTTAAAAAATTGAGGGAGTGAAGCAGGTGTTATGCTCTGGAAGACTGACAAGAAAAAGACAAGACAACCTGTACAAGCTTTATCTCTTTAGGAAATAAAGTATTCAGGTGCTAAGGCTCATACCGATATCCTCCTCCACAGGACACTTCGTCACTACATACCTCCCTAAAGGCAGGAGGATGAAATTTTATAGTGTTTTACACCTTACATGGCCCACCTTGAATTGTTCCTTTTCTTCTTCACCTCCCAGTGAAAGCAAGGAACAGAGCCAAGAATCTGGAAGACCATTTGCATTATTCTACCATGAAAGCACTGAACTTAGTCTAGTCCATGTATTTTCACAGGTGCTAAAAATAGCACTTAAAGGTTTAAATTACTCTGCCCTCTTAGAAAAACACAGCCTATATCTGAAAATATTTTACACTACTGAAGACTGAAATGCACATTCATTTCCAAAATTAGAAAAAGATCCTTGGAGGACATTGCCTGTACAGACAGGCTGGCCATGTTCCTGAAAGTACTATGCTATCTACAACGTTATGTGGATTCTTAAGTATGCTAACTAGAAGATACATCAAAAACTAAGTAAATTTACTAGTAATAACAAGGGACTATTAACAACTCACCTAGTAAGAAAAAAATTTGCATTAAAGTAACAGGCCTTGTATAAATAGCCTGTTAAGCTGAAAAACTACACTGCAAAACCATTTAGCTTAGAACAGAATTTTGTCTTACTACATCGTACCTGAGCTAAGTTTGGGGTTTTTTTCTCCATAAAATATTTCAAAAAAAAGTTTATTGAAGCTCAGTACCAAACCAAAATGACTTTTCCTTACCCCCCTCCTCGACTTCCATCTCTCCAGAGAACTGCTTCTTGGCAACTTTATACCCCCTTAAACCCCATTAGTTAAATTTTACCAAAAAAACTACTCCAAAAGAACGTAAGGATCAGTGACAGCTTTGCTGATTATGCCATATTAACAACAATCTTAACCATAGGCAAGAAGAAAACTAAGGTCTTAGAGTTAAGATTTTTTTGTTGCCAGATTTAGCTAGAAACACGATTTAATTTGTCTTACTGCTCTTACTGGACATCACACGGCTGTGGCACTGCTATGCGGCTGAATTTCTCCATGTCTTCCACTACACTCCTTTCAATACATCATTAGAAAACAGCACAATCCTTCTACCAGGCTTCTTCCCCAAAAGGAGAAGCACTACTACAAAGAGCAACACCCCAGTTTCCTGCACATGATGTGTGTGCAAAGAGCGACTGTCACAACTCTGGAGACACGTATCACGTTTGGTACAGAAAGTAAAAAAGCTTTTGCCACCCACTTGCAAATACTGTTCAGAAACAGCCTTAACGCATCAAGAAATTGATAAACCTCAGTCATGACCTTTGCTTCATTCCTACAGAGTACAAAACATTTTTAACAACTGGCAGGTGTCTATACACATGCACACACAGAAAACATCAAGCAGTGACTGAGAATTAGTATTGAAAAGTTATTTAGCGGTTTAATATCTTTCATGCTCTATTGCTGTTCAGCAGTTTGTACTAAATGAGCACACTTCTTTGTTCTCTTGAGGCATGTATTAATTTAATATTAACCCAGATTAAATTGCTCTAGTATAGCACACAACACTGGCATTTTTCCAAGAAATATCCCTGTTCCTATAAAGTGTTTAACGTTCTCATGCTGATTATATTTATCCCAACAAATACTAAATCAGGTAAGTAAAACCTGGTAATAAATACAGTTCTCTGGACTGAGAATAATATAGAGCATCCACTCCAGCTTTCCATTCATTCCCAGAATGGGATTTTTAATTTGTTTCAAATAGAGTGGGAGCTACCATATGGGAGGTTTTGTTATTTAAAGTGAAAACATTTTCGTTTACCATGTGGTAAACTGGTATGCAATAGTAAAACAAAAGCAGTAGGATAGAGACTTTTTAGAAGAAACATTCAAAAATAAGGGCTTTCTCAAGACAGAAAAGTACAGTGACTTGGCAATATCAAGATGGAAGCAATATTAGTGATTTAAGGTTAATGCAACAGAATATTTAAAAGCTAACATTATCTTTCTGTTAGACTGTCTCTTCTGAGTATTAACATGACCACTCTTTGTGTATGATTACTGTCTTACCTGCAAGTACAATTTGTTATCTTTTGTAATAGCATCCATGAGGTCTTTCTGTAGTGGAGGGTCTCCATTTACCCAGAGTCCATTTGCCGAACTGGTGTTGAAGCCACAGGTACTATTTTGTTTTTTGTAAAACAGCACATAAGCAGTGTCCTTTGGAAATCTACTGGTAATTTTCTGGACTGACTGAAATGAGGTGAATGTCACCCTGCTGTCATTGAAAAGAAACCATTCTCTTGGCATCTCAGTGTCCAACTCATTTTCTACAACAGTACAAGGACTCTCCTCTGTCAACAACTTATCCCGAGGAGAAACTAAAGAAAGAGCTGTAGACGACTGGTGGCAGAGTCCCGAAGTCCCTGAACCAGTAACATTCCTAGCGTATGAATAATAATGTCCACTTTCAGAGGATACACCGGAATGCACCACCACAGAGCTTAACACGTAGGGCACCAGTTGCGGGCAAGTCGCTTCATCAGCACCTGAGGGCTTGAGTTTTTTAGCAAGATTCTCTCCAATATCAGAAAGCTCCACACCAACAGACCAACCTCCCGAAACTACACCTAGAGGGGACGCCGCCCTTTTGACCGGCAGTTCCAAAACAAGGGGCAGAGACACATTGTCCAAGATTTTGCGCCTTATATGACACTTTGGATCATATGAAAATCTCAAAAGAGTGAGAATGAGGTATTCGGGTTCCTCGATGATTTGCATAGTTTTCTCAGCATTCTGCAGAGAGGCACACTTTTCACAATAATACTTATTGTCTCCACTGAGGATCTCAGGTGCCAGAAAATAATTCAGTAAGTCTGTAACTGACAGGGTGTTTTTACCATCTAGCTTCTGAGACATATCCCTATAATCTGGAACTTTGTTGAGTTCAGAGTTTGCGGAATTCTCAGAGTTTGGCTCAGTAGAAACGTCTTTCATGGTTCCTTCCTTCATTATTGCATCACATCCACCATTTACTTCCAAATCGTTGAGAGGTGTTTCTGCAGCAGGACCAGTTGCTAAAGTATTAGTTTGCGCCACGTAATCATCTTTCACTTCAGAATGTTCCACACATTTCGGGCCAACGTTCTCCAAGGAAGTTGGAGGACAGAAAGCCAGAGAGAGATCTGTAAAAGCTTCTTCCTTTTGAGACATACTTTTGCAGTTCAAACAGCATATAGTAGTCTTCAATTTCCCTCCAAACATCTTCTCTATCAGAGTTCTTTCCCCACTTCGCATACAAGGTGCTTCAGCAAATGCTTGTGCTTTATAGACAGCTTCTTGTGTCTGGGATTCCTCACTCATTATACTTTCAGAAGTCTTGGCTGAGGACAATGCTTTCAAGGTTCTCTCTTCCTCATGCAGCCTGAAGACAAAGAAAAATAAATTCAAGTAGCCATGCCATTTTACAAAAAAGTATCACTGCACCATTTCACACTTTACCCCAGTTACGCTCAAAACTACAGATGGTTAAGCAGCTAGAAGCGCCTTAGATAAAAGCAGCTTTTCTTGTATTAGGAAAGCTAAACCATACAGGTCAGTGCTACCCAAAACAGAGTACAAAAAGCACAAACACATTTAATGTGAGTTTCATTACATATAAAGACAACACAATGGATGTACAGAGAGAACTGGCAAGTAGTAAGAAAAACTAACAATGTTTTTATCATTTACCATTAAATTATCTTACAGTTGGCTAGTTCTGCATGTCAGATTTCGTAGGAGAACAAGTAGCTATTTATCTAGTGTCAGATTATTTTCAAAGATAAGAAAAAGTCACGATTTGTAGCAAAGGAATGTAAGAAACTATAACAAGAAAAATCAAATAAGGAAATCCAAAGCAGGGGGGAACCACAACCAAAACACCAACCCTAAAAACCACCACTATTTCATTATCAAGATGAACACCTTGAGAAGTAGAATGTGTCATAAAGCCATATTACTGAAGCCACATCTCAGCAAGCCAAAAACTAAGAGGACTCCTAAAAAAATGTAGGTATTTGCTTTCTTCTGTGCTACACTTAGTTTTCTTGTTTAATAAAGTAGTTATAAATGCATGACCATCTCTTCATGACTTATCTGACCTGTATAAAAAGACAGCTGTCTCCACCAACATGAAATTCCAGGTGAAAAACCTACACTCCTTTCAGTAACCACATTAACTTTATACTGAGACCATCACTAGCGTAATGCCCAAGTTCAGACGTGTAAAAAAAAAAATATAACATTACTATCACCACACTCTGCCTTAAATGATGCAGATACAAGATGGTATCCAGACTATACCATAGATTAAACCACATAGAAAACCACTGCCAGGCAGTGATGAGGCCTAAAATCCTTGGTCCCCACTTGTGCAGTGGGACTGTTACACAACTGCTCCCAGGAGTCCAACACTACGGGGTAAAACTGTAGATTCGTTCCCATTAATGGCACCCTAACTGTACCTGTCCAGTAGGAATCTGAGATACTCCGAGCAATCCTGCTGGGATCGAGGGGTGAACCATGGTGGTCTGGAAGCCTCAAAGAAGATTCTAGGAGCATATGCCTCTCTCTGTTCACATAGGAAGAGAGAGATGGACAAGGTTAAATAAGAACTACTTGAAGAATTAGTTATATCACGATATCAAGCACTGAATTTTGGACTACATTATTCCAGAGGATAATGTATAAAATAGGGCAGACAAACATTTAAATCGACCCTAGGGAGCCATTAACTTAGTAGTAATCACCTCTAGCACAAAGATAAAAATAGTGGATCCTGCAGGCGAATATCAAATGTGTAGTGAGCATAAACCAGATATTATGCATGACAGCAGTTTCTGTTCTTGTTGGCAAGCTTTAAAATGTTTTCTTTCTTCAGAACACCATCAGTATTTCTTTAGCAGCAATTTATTTTTAAGTTGATCCAGCCTCATCCCCTTCACAAGTTCACTGATATTAATCAAAGAGAAGTGCCTTATATCCTTCTAGCACTAGCAAAATATTTTGAAGTTTTATTGAAGTCCACTTGAGAATTTGAACTAGAAGGAAATTTAGTGTAAAAAGCACTGCAGACAGTCTTCCTTTAGCCTAGAAAGTTACATCAAGTCAGCTTGTATAGCAAACCAGGTCTTAATCGGATTTTTTATTTTTAGCTTCTCAAAGAAAACCTGTTACTGCACATTTAAAAAAATAACACACCACCAAGATGTCCAACCTATGAAGTATAGATTTCTAAGTCCATTCACATTACCTGAACATTTGCAGACTGATTATTTCCCCTATATATCTATCATATTTACATTCCTAATATACTCATTAGGACTCTCCATGGCATCACATTTGTTTGCAAATTTTGGTATATAGATGCAGGCTGAAAAAGGAGCAGAAGAAATAAACCAACATACCTGGGTATGGGCCAAAAATGCAAAAAGATGCTGTAATTTTCTCATTAGTGAATTACAACCGTTTAGATTCAAAGACAAAACATGTCTTCTGAAACTGAAAAGAAACAGACATTAGTTTCCTTGCTAGATTGCTAATGCCACCACAGCTATCATTCCAGCTCAGCTAACTACTGCAATCTGAAAGCACATGAAATATGTGACACTTGCCTGAAACACCTTGATTCTGCTTAGTGCAGATGCAAAATTTCTGTACAGTAGGAACTAACACTGCAAAAATACTACTCCTTTCACCATTTAAATGTCTAAGAACAGGCTACAGACAGACAAGTTTTTCATTAGCTTTCAGATGAACAAAAGCATCACTATAAGCTTTCACAACACAGAAGGAAGCAAGGATACAGGGGAAAAAAGAGACTTGTCATTTGCCACCAGGCAGAAGGTTCAGGACTTGTAATAGTTAAAATTGCAGTTTCACTAAGCTGGACTTGAACAATCAGTAACTGAGTGGAGAGAGACCCACATAGCTCTAGCAAGCCAAGAGACCCCAGGGTGTGTTGATATTAATAAAAAAATAAGAATGCAATAACTAAACAGTTAACATAGAATGAAGAAAGCTATTAAAAAGGACTTACTCTGTTGCCATAAAAAGTGCCTGAATAACACTGTTCATGTAGCAAGTATTTCCCAGATTAATTAGACCAGTCTTCCCAGTTTCAGATTTTCCAGAAAGTCTAGATAAACAAGATGGCAAAGAACTGGATTGAGAAGTCCAGGCACTCTGACTGAGAATCAGCTTAATCTTCTCTTCGGTGGGTTTGGGCATATCCTACAAGAGAAACATTTAAACACACTTAAAAGGTCCTGGTATTTGTTCTCATAAGAGATCCCACCACCCAGCACTTTTGTATCTGCACTTGCTCCCACATTCTCCTCCAAGGTCCTGCTACCCCTGCCAGCCTAGAGGATACGAAATCCCTTCCCAATCCCTCCTCTGCAAACCTTTCTTTACTCAACTCTCAAATTGCAGAAATAAGAGGCTGGCAGTCACCTTTGACCTGCACATTCACAGAATCCTCTCTGCCACAAAAAACTACCTCTCAAATATCAAGCTTTAAGAGACCCCCCAAAGTATCTTCTACTTCACTAGAAATAGATTTTGATTTGATAGCAGAAATGTAAGAATGAAAGAATAAAATTGAGAATACTGAGACTTAAACTGATACAGGGTTTTTAAACATCAAGTGGAAAAAAAAAATAAAAAACCCTGCAATATAACTGCTATAAAATCAGGCAGTAATACCCAAGTAGCTCTTTGGTTTACTATTTCTTTTCTAACTCAAATTTGTTGTTTTTAAAGGTTTGGGTTTTTTTTTTTTTACTTTAAGTGCATTATGCACTTAAAAAAGCCGAATTTAACTTCCAAACAGCATAGGGCAGCATCCTTCAAACACAGGGGCAATACTGACTGCAGTATCAAGATTTTTGCACTCCTCAGTACCTATTTCTCTTCAATACTATCAGCACTCTGGATTTATATTTAAGGAGTTACAGCTTCTAGCTTGGGTTGAATTGAAACACCTAGAACAAACATTACAGAAGTATATTAATAGTTCCATGAGGCTTCAGAAGTCACACCATACTTCTCATTCCAGGGTTTTCTTAAAGCCTACTATAGTCATATTCTAGACACTCAGGACAACTCTTCTAGCATATTCCAAACAGAATTGACATCAGATTATATGGCTAGCTGTTTTCCCTCAGTCTAAGTTCTAAAGAGTTTACAGGATTATGGCTTGCACATTAGGGAAACCAACAAAACAAAACCACTTTAGCCTCTTAATAATTCTAATATACCTTAAGAGCTTCCAGGATGGGTTCATAGAGCTCTGGAAATCCTGAATAATGATACATCATACAGTGTATCAACTCTGTCAGCTGCATCAGAAAGGCTGTACTGGAAGGTAAGCCATCTCTTTTGAAGGAGTGAACCAAGTTGACCACATGTGGGACAATCTGAGTGACAAAACAAAGTTAACTGCATTTTTCAGTTTTGTTTTTTTTTGTCCTGGAAAGAAAACTTAACTGTTTTTACACATGCCAAATGACAGGGGACCTTCTGTTCTTAAAGTGACTGATAAACAAGGACTTGAACAGGCTTTACTCTCTACTCACAATAATTTTCAAACAGACAATTATTCAATGCTCTTTTTAGCTCATATACCTTAGGTTTTGGAACTTTATAAGCTTGGAAAATGCATTTTAAGATTTTAAAATGGTAAAGTGTTCAAAGCATTCAAGTTATTGACAGCAAACACTTAACTTCTGTGCCACCACTAACAGCACCGTACCCTGTGCTCATTTCTCAGATAGAGTTTTTAAAACAGACCACTCTATTTGCCTGAAACAGAATCTAGTCCTTGGGATCAGAAGCCAACGAATACATTCAGGTTTTTTGTTTACAAGATGGAAACTGGCTCACAGCTCCACCTAGTGAGGGAGGAAGCTAGGCTCAAAGAACTAGAGCTTAAAAAAAGCTTACACATAGTATAGAGATGCATTACTACTTGAAATTGGGTATAACTCAGAAATGTTGACCCCGCCTTCTTTCCCTTCTTCAGTGCAGCTCTTTACGTACTTTTTAAGGCATGAGACTTTTTTTATATTAGTCTTAAAACAAGTAGGAAGCGATCGCAGTGCAGCCCCAAAGAACAGGGACTTCTCAGTGTGAACCAAAATATTTTAGACACCGCTGTTAGTTTCCAAGTGATCAAAACCACTTAACTGTGACGAGAAATTATTCCATGCACTGCTTTCACAAATTAGCTTCCAAAATTTTTGGTACTCCAGACATGAAATACAGAACAGAAATTCTAAGAATACCAATGTTGGATAAGAATACCAATTCCAAGAATTAATGTACTTCAAAATACCAAAGTAAAAGGGCGAGCTGCAAAATCCTCATTTACCACTTGCTCAAATATCAGTTCTTTTACTATAAGGAATGTTTTTACATCTCAGAGAAACAAGCCCTGCTGTTTTGGTAAGCAAGATATCCACTGTTTAAGAATCAATCCACCAAGATAAAACACACAAAAAAGTCAAGGGTGCAAGTTGCAATGAAAAATTTCCATTTCACTTTATAAATGTGGGTGCACGGCAATAAGTAACTATTGAGCTCTAAGAATGAGATTTGCGTGAAGTAGGTCCAAGATACAGTAATTCTGCACAAAAATACTGAGATAGAGTAATTCTGCACAGACAAAGCATTTAAGAAGAAAAGCAAATGTACAGGTTAGCAGTTCTCTCAGGCTGGGAGCCAAATTCTTACTCAGAGCATGCTGTATAATAAAAGTTTTACTTTGATTACATACAGCAGTATCACTTTCAGCTTGAGGTTAAATTTAACTATTAAACATCAATAGATTTTAGAATTCCATAGTACACATAATGTTAAATTCTACATCATAAATGTAAGGAAGGGTTTTTCTTCTATAAAGAAGACGCTCAAGCATGTGGAAGGGGAATGTTAGCTCGGATGCACTGCAATATTAACTATTTTTATCAAACGTGCCGCTAACAATTTTATGTTCAGACTATTAATTATAAAAAAAAAATACAGGTAGTTTAAGTGCAGGAGGATATTAGAGGATGAGTAACAGCAGAAGCTCAAGAAGTGATAGTGAAGGCTGTTTAAAATGGAGGGAAAATAGTCCCAATGAAGTCCTGAAGACAGATTTTTATGCAGTACTGCATGCATCCTCCAGCACAAATTTTCCTTGTTAAAACAAACACTATTTCTAGAAAAGTCTGCTCATATTTTACATTTTTCTCATGTTTTCTTTTGTCTCAAGAAAAAGAACAACAAAACAGTAAATATATGAAATACTTATGGTTTTGAGTATATTCAATTTCTATCCTAGGCCATGATTAGGGCAGCAGAGTAAAGAGAGAAACTACAAACTTGTATCACTGAAAAACAGTGTAACAGACATCAGGCAATTACTCTGATACTAATCAAAGGGTTTGTGATCCCTTCAGGCCTCAGAGCCTTGGGGACAGCTTAGAGAAACAGCATGTTGAGCTGTTATTGCTGTTAAATTTCAAAGAGTCATACTTCCCTTAAAGTTTAAGCTGAACACCAAGTAGGATAACAAGGGAGGCACCATACATCTTGCCATACTAATACAGTCATCATCAAGCATCTACTGCTTGAACTGGTGAGCTGCATTTTCAAAAGTGGCCATTAAAAATAGTATTCTTCAGTTTGCCCACATGCACGTGGAAACACAGACAAGGTAGCTGTTTTTAAAAAAGCACTTCTTAGTCTCATGCATCCAGCCAGTACGAAGAGGTTATACAGAGCAGATAATGGGTTATCTGTTTTCTCCAACTAGTCGTGCTTGAAAGTCTACTTGCAGCCCAACTTTATCAGGAGACTGCACACCACATAAAACACATTTCCAGAAGTACACTCTCAATGACAGAACACAATGCCCAGATACTACTGCCAGAAATACGCATGCACCAGGAAGAACTGTGCTCATTTCTAGATCAAGTGTCTGAACCTGAAACTGAGAACGCTAGTGGTCTGTGAACCACAGAAATCTGATTCTAGAATAAAAAGGAAACTCAAGCACATAGATTTTGTTACTCTTCATATTCACGTGTCATTTCTAAAGTGGGTAACACAAAAACCATTCATTTAGTAACTTACCAAATGAAAAGCTTCTGGAGAATGCTGAAAACTAAGTAACATGTGGGAAAGGACAGCAAGGGCACCAGGCCTCACTAGAGGAAACCAAAGTCGATTAAAGACCTAAAAAAATGCACATTTATTTCAGTAAATCTAGAAAGCAAAGTTTCAGTCAAAATGTAAACAGATCTCCTAATCCACAACCATTTGAAAGAAGCAGAATCATTACACATAACTGAAAGCAACAGATGTTTACATAACCTTTGAAGAATAAGATAATACAGTGTAATAGAGAAGATACCACACAACTACAGAATTGTTACAAATTCCTTTCCCTCTCCTACAATTCTGAAAGTTCTTTTTCCAACATACCAATTCAATCTTAAGCAGAGTGACATCAATGAGGATGGTAAATTTCTGAACTGCAGCCAGTCCTTTCAGCAGTGCAATCACCCATGTTTCCACATGCTGAGCCAAAGGCCAGGACAACCAGTCAATCATTCTGAAAGATTAATGAAAAAAACCAAAAAAACCAAAATAAAGCTCTAATCATTTCAATCACAACAAAAAGATTCTATATATTACCTAGATAGTTACACATACACACACACAGACTCACAAAAAGAAATGCAAGAATGTTAGGCAAAGTAGTTAAATGATTTTGATTAAAACTCAATTCATTTAACCCTGTAATTAATACGGATCTACTTAATAGATTAAAAGTAAATACAACTCCACTAATACAGAATCATAAGTTAAGCATTATGTATATTATTTAAGAATATAAACCCAGTGTTTATAGACATTAAACTAGTATTTTTATTTTGTGGCAAAAACTTACCACTGAAGGTGAAGAAGTGCCTGTACCTGGAAACCTCGCCTCCTACACCTTTTATCCAAAACCACACCCAACTATTAAGCTTAGATTTGAAAAGGAAGCCTCTTTGACTTATTATTACAACCCTGGAAGCCAACTCAAATATTCCCAGTTAAAAAGGTAAAACCTAATATTTTTCAATATACTGCAGCAGGTGTTACAAGGATCTTAAAACAGCCATCAGCAGCCTGTGGTATACATGTACCCCAAAAGAAAAGGTAAACTGCAGGGATTTAACCTGTGCCTAGAAAACATAGTCAAATATCACCAGTGATAAACAGGAGTATCCTATTCTTCTACATTAATGGATATTTTACACTTAAGGCAAACAGGCAGATTAGCTGAAGCAGTTCTAAAACACTGTCCTGGTGATACTGTAAATGCAGCATCAGCTAGAACATGACATTGAGACTTTGTTCTTCTGAGATTGTACTGGGCCATATCTTGGATTTTTGTTAATGGTCCATAAGATCCTCTTCTTCAAACTAGATGAGGCACCACTCATTAAGTAAAAAATTTTCATTGGAACAAGTTACATAGTAAGGCCAAGACACCTCCACCCTTGCAGAAAGCTCTTAAGTCAGTTGGACAAGGCCCTGAGCCACCTCTGATCTTGAAGCTGGCCCAGCTCCAAGCAAGATTGGACCAAGTGACATACAAAGGCTCCACCCAAGCTACTTAACACTACAATTTCATAACTCAATAAAACCAGGAGGTTAGAAAGGTATTTCTTGAATTCTTTACTGAAAAAAGGAAATAATCTTTATGAACAGATTTTTTTTAAGAGGCTAAATTCCAGAGCAGAACTGAGGAGATGACAAGCAACCAATCTAATAGTCCCTACCACTACAAACAGTCATAGTTAGTGATTCTCAATCTGAAGCAAAAGCAACAGCATTCATGTTCTACCAGAAAACCAAGAGATCCCAAAATAGACCAAAATGAGGGTTTCAGTCCTCAGATATCAAACGAAAAAGAAAACCATGGTCTTTAGCAACACTAGATATGCATTCTGGGCATGCTGCATTACCATAACCTAAAATTTAAAAGAGTTTAGAATTCAGATCTGAAAAATGGTAATACACATTTTAAAACTTGATATATCTTAGAATTACATATTATCTGCGTATAAAATTCAAAGGTTACTACACAATAGGGAATCATTAAGACTGCCTTGTTTAAAATCACAGTTCTTACTGGGTTTCTCGCATATTTCTACAACAAAGACTTGAAGAAACATGGCAACATCATAATCATTGCTCTGAATTTACACAAAGCTCTCATTTCCTCAACATGTTAAATTTAAACACTGGTTATTTTCATACACTTTCCAGCATTATTTCCATATATTTTCTAAAATCAGGAATAAAATACAAGTAGGCCACAATTCCTTTTACCTGCCAAGAATTAACCTTCTATTTCTCATGATACTAAGTATAAAGAGTCAACTTCCTCTGAGACCTGTGAAGTAGACCCTTTAAGTAGTCTCACAGTCCAATAATTTTCTGCTTCTCCTAATTGATGCTTCAAGTAAGGTTCCATGAGACAGCTGAGCCAATTAAGAACAGCTGAGCCAATTAACAGCAGCTAAATTACACCAAAAAACAAGCACCCTTTCTCACACAAACCTGCACCTAATATAATCTCCCCACTGAACAGATTCAACTTACTGGTCTTATAATTACAGATTATTTACTGATTTGTGTTCAACTCAAGACAGGCTCTGCAGTGTTATGGAAGTCACTCTGAAGAAGCAAGTAACAAGGTCTCTAATTTGCAGTCACCAAAGCTCTGCTGAGTCTCATCAGGAGACCTTGTTGTGCCTGGAGTTCTGTATCTCCCAGGAATGATGAAAGCCTGATGACAACATTTGTCATGTGGTGCTCCAGACATTCCAGCTGCACTACTCTCTTAACAAATACTCCTCTAAGCTAGAGGAGAATAATTACCGCAAAGGGTTTCCAGAGGCAGAAGAAAACCCCACCTGCATACAGCATGACAGTATCTACAAACAAAAATAAACACAAGTACCTTAAAAGATAGTTCCAGGGACCAGAACTAGAAGCTCTTAATCAAGTACTACTTCAGAAAGCAAACAAGGCAAGTAAAGATTGCACTGCCATTTCAGAAACAAGAGGAAGAAACGTACCACACCGCTAGTATTGAGAAAGGGCACTTATTCGATAAGAAGAGCTCCTATTAGACCCAAAGCTCAGCACTGTGTAACTCCCCTAAGCAGAGATACAGAAGAGAAACTGTTCTAAAGCTACAGTGATATGAATGCCTTGTGTTGAAGCAAGTAATACAACATAAATGGGAAAATTATACTAATATCAAAATTCATCACAGCACATTACTGACAAATCATCACCATGCACCAAACCCTCTGAATTTCCCAGCTATAAATTTTAAACTGTGCATTCAGCTTCGCTTAAAATCTGTTCAGGCAGGCACATTCTTTCCAAGTCCCTAAACAGTAGGTCTCACCTTAAATTACAGTATTAACACTGTTCTTTCCCATTAATTATGTTTTCAAATTAATTACACCTTCTCAGTTTCATGTAAATATGAGGAATGTTATCAGTATCAAAAAAACCTCTGTATTTCACCAAAATATCCAAGTGCTACAGTGCATGAACACGTATTACACTACACTCAAATGGACGGACTTAAAAGTAGGAGACATGAAATTCTTTTAGTTGAAAGACTTCTTACAAGTTAGTTTTTAAAAACAAATTTCTAACAGCCTCCTATTTAAATGCTTCACAAATTTTTCTATCCTTCAGTGCTCAATAATAACTTCTTCCATGGGCTTTAAAAAAATAATTCAAAGAATTTCAGGAAGGTCCATCTTCCTCTCATTGTCACATTTCTGCATCACTACTACTGACAAATTTGAGAATACTAACCAAGATGGCCATCTGCCTTACAGTCAGTTAACAGTGCTACTAATACCAGTGTTTACTCCTGTTCAGAAGCATAATATGCAATTGTTTTTACATAATTCTTAAGCTTCCGTTAATCAAAGAATACCCAAAATCACTTGTGGAAGTGAAAACAGAGGCTGTCCCCTGTGAATCCTATTAAAAAGTCAGGACAATATCTAAACAGAAAACAACCCAAATTCTCAAAACTCTGCAGTAAAGTTCATTTCTAACCATCTCCCCTCTTCAAAGGAGGAGAGAATGGTGAAGACAATGATATGACAGAGCCTCTCGGCTTCTCAGAACAGCTGAAAGGTTGACCTTGTCAAAACAAGGCCTTGTTTCTCAGATATGACTGTAAAGCCTGGGATACTCGCTATTTATGCTGCCTCCCATAGGGTGGGAGATTTAAGCATAAGACACCCTGTAAAAGGAACAGCTCCCCTCAGTTTCTGTTTAATCCTCTTTCTCTACTGCAGCAAACCATATGAAAGTACATCAGCAATGAAGGTAGCAAGCGTAAACTGAAATTATGCCAGTAAAAGCAACAGCATCCGAACTATACATTATCTTGACATGCTAAATAGCATAACTTAGAATACCATTTTAAAAGGGGCTTTTTATGTTTTTTGCTTGGTTGGTTTTTAATGGAACTTAAGTGACAAATAATTTCAAAGAAGGCAAGAATAAGAATATTTTCCCTCCTTGACAATGAAATCCAGTACCTGCACAGAGCTTGAGTCATACTTGCATCTTTCACATTTGGATCTGTAGTAAGGCTCCTGATGAGTACTGTAATCATCTGTAATGGTATGTGCTGCACGAGACTTGCCAGAGCAACAGAAGGTTCGAATGATGTGTCTGCAATAGTTGAACATGACATAATGTAAGAAACTAAAAAGAAAACCCAAGAGATAAAATAGGCCTTATCTTCTGTCCTACAACTTCATTACAGCTGTAAAGTTGTGAGACAATGAGCCTATCATACACAAAACATTCTATCACCACAAAACAGAACTTAAGCTCCAAAAAAAAAGTTTAAAGTGCAATGAATGTCATTGAATTACCAACTCCTTTTGTTAATTTAATAGACAATCTGCCAACTTCCTCTTCGACTCTCAACAGAAGTGAGAATCGTTTGTTTTATTTTTTTTACTAAAATGGAGTAGCATACAATTATTTACCCTATTTGATGCCAAGCCTAAGGATCCAATGTAGCTGATATTTCCCATATCCTAACTACTGTCTGCTAACCATACCAGTTACGGCCAAACATATTGTTATATACAAAGTTTCCCAGGTACCTCAACAGCAAATGCACTTTCTAGCATGAGCTAATACAGTACTCCATAGACTTTTACGATCATAAAGGACCTACTTACCATCACATCTACATTGCTTGGGCAGTGAATCCTTCCTACGATACCTATTTTTTTATATACATTCTTTACACATACCCCAGTCGTGTCAGCTGAACAGTTGCAAGGGGGAAGCAAAGACAAAGAGCAGCTTCCTATACAGAGAGATTTAGTTTTTCCTAACAGGACACCCCAAATTCTGTTCTGGTATATCACTTAAAGCATTGCAATAGTGGTCTTTTTTTAAAAATACAAACTCAACCCCCCCTGCTACTTGGCAGCTAAATAAACCAGCAGTTCCACTCTACCTTTTGGGGGGCAGTAAGACTTTGCTTTCCCAACGACCAAAAAAATTGCATTTTAGTAGCCGGGCAAAGAAGCAACGGTTCCACGGCAAGGCCGACGCTAGCGCTGGGGCTTTTCCTTTCTTTGGGCGAAACTGCCGCCCTCCAGCGCCCGCGCTCTATCCTCCCCACCCCTCCCCGGTCCCTCGGCCGCCCTCCCCGGCCGGCGGCGCTCACCGGCGGCGGAGATGACGGCGAAGAGCTCCTGCAGGG